TATTATATTACCCGTAAATATCCGTTTCGTCGATAATAGTATTTTTTTTTTTTTTTTTGCTTTTGTTCCGACGCTCCGCAACGAACCGATATCATCGTAATTCGGGCGGTCGCCCGCTAACTCGATCTGCCGGACAATCCGTTTGGGAACCGTCCGTCTCGGCTCTTATATCGTGTAACGGTTTATCCGTTTGCCGTCCGTCGGAATCCGTGGGGTCTTATCCGAAACCTATAATATTTACTCATTACCGTAGAGCCGGGCCACGGCCGTTATAAACTTCACAAGTCGTTTTGTTTTCTTGTATTCTTTAGTTTCGTAGCGTAATATTATCATTATTATTATTATTATTATTATTATTATTATTATATTTTATTATATTTTATTAATATTACGACTAATATTATTATACAATAATAGTATAGTGTATGCCTAGTGTTTGGTTGTACATTTTTTTTTTTTTTTTTTTTTTCAACGTTTAACGCGCGATTATTACGCGAGCAAACAAAATAAAAAAAAAAAAACAAAAAAAAAATCCGTTTAGCGTACGGGCGTACACGTAAACGAGAGTAACATAATAATGATGTTGAATATTTATTATTGTTTATTAATATTGTATTACAATGTTTTGTTGTTAATTTGTGTAAATGCTTTAATATATTATACACGCACGTACGAGTGGCTGCGCGAGCGCGCGACACGCGGGGCGCTAAACATTAAAGTTTATTACGACACGAATATTTTTATCGTGATGGTCTCGTATTTATTTACTAATTTTTTTTTTTTTTTTTTTGTTTTTCTAATTCCATCATCGAACGACGGGGACGATGTTTTTGTCGTTTCGGCTTATCCGAACAATGTTGTCGATCGATCCGTTCGTCCGTCCGATGTCGTTTAATACGAGAAAATCATAATAACAATATTGTACTTTCATTGGGGTATCATATGGATTTTTTATTATTATATTTTTTTTTTTTTTTTTAATTCTATTTAATCGTAATTTCATGTAACTATATAATATACTATTCACAAACGGTGCTTTATACCAAAATAGTCTTTATATAACATTTGTAACTTAATAATATAATAATATATAATTGTTGTTGTCCTAATTTTGTTTTAATTTGTGAATTTTTTTTTTTTTTATGTAAATAAGCTATTTATCATATTATTATATTTTATAATATCATTATTATGTTGTAAAACACATTATATTCTATTAAAAGCGAAATGAATTAACTTATATAAATGTCTTCTTTTGATTTGGCAGGTACGGGATTATTGTTATATGATATGTAAAGAGTGATTAACTTATCATGAACCAGCAATATTCTCAAAGGATTTTAAGCGAATTTAATTTTTTTAAGTTATCGATGTGTTATTTAAAAATATACATAGAATTTATTGCCCTTCCCTACTCCTCCAATCAAAACTTAAAACTATTATAACTCATAAATGGTAAATCATCATTATGCGTATCAACATTTCTAGAAAACTACTCTCCATTTGAATCCATTTGAATGTGATTAAATGTGAGGTTGTTGTTTAAACATCAAAAGTAGATCCACATTTCAAATATAAGTAGTAAGAGAAAAAAATTTAGAATAGTGTTAAAAAAAAATCAAAACAAAAATCACTTAAAATCCTCTGGGAAATTTTCTGGATCATGATAAAAGTATTGCTCTGTATTCTCTAAGAAAATGTCTAGTAATTCTAGTTTTATTTTATTAATATTCACTTTTTTATGACTAATAAATTATCAGAGTGTGAAAATTATTCCTCTGTTACACAGACTAACTCTTTTAACTAAGTTAATTCAGAGAAATATATTAAAATAATTGAAATTATAATTATTATGCTTAGAGAATATAACACAATATTCTCTGGTTGTTAGCTCTACTAAAAACCATACGGTAAATTTAAAGAAATGAAAGTCAAATAAAACCATGAAAATGCATATAAATACATGCACTATTTTTTTTATAGCTATCGATGTCATTATGTTTGAATTTAATATTTTTCCACTACACGGAAAGTCGTCCATTTGTGTATTTTCAAAAATATTTACCTAGAATGATACTTAGTCATTTCATTAAATCATTATGAATATACAATAATAATAATATGTTATAATTTTGTGTAGGTCTACATACCTATATTATATCATCTAGTTGAACAGTTGTTTTCTTGTTTGGAAGTTTTTTAGATTTGTATACATTATTTTGAAAGGGAATTTTATTGTATTTAAAATCATAATAAACCTTACTTAATTGCATACCTAAAAAGTTGCCATAACTTAAATATGTTTTAATCTCATTTCAAACAAATTATTTGTTTAATATGTAATGAAATGGAAATTAAATCATAAATTCTACATTTGATGAACCTGTACAAATAATAGGTAGGTATCTAAATAATAAATCGCTATGACTTTAAATTAATGAAAATATTTGAGGAATTAAAAAAAAAATAGAGAGAAAAAATGTTAAAAACTGAGTCATATGCTATAAAAATTATCTACATTATAAGGTTATTCTCATCAATAATATTTTTAATAATAATAATAATAAATTAATATCACTATTAACTAAAACTTAACTCTAGATATCTAATTAATGTCTATTAAACTGTAAATATTGTACATATTATATATAAATTAATATGTAATTGATTAACTATACATTTTTATAAAATGTTATAAAAAAATGTTTTAAAAAAATTTATAATTGGATGTGATACACCCAATTTGTTCTGTCTGATTAACACAGGTGACAAATCAAACTTACATCTTAGAATTCAAACTGTGGCCTTTAGGATACAATTAAAGTGGTCCATTAGGTATACTACCTACCAAAGTAAATGTGAGTTTCACTTTTCTTCAAATGTAGGTAAACTACATCAATACATACACAAGACACATATTGTCCAATGATTAATTACATTAGCAAGTAAAACATTTAACTCATTTTTAATAATTATTATAATATTCATAACAGTTAAAAAAAATTACAATGCATTGGGTACATCAAAATTCAATTGTTACAAGACAAAATTATTATTCTTTTTATAGTTATTTTCCATAGTGTTTTTCTGGCAATTTAAAATCCACTGCATTTAAAACACGTATTATACATACAAAACAATTAGTTTTATAATATAATACATACGTATTATTATGTTTTATACTGTATCAGCAAGGTATTACACGTATGAAACGTTTTATACACATACATTACCGACTCTGTTGACTGCTTTAAATATTATCGAGGATAACAATGGAAAGAATAGGTTGGTGCCTACTCTGTTTTAAACGAATTTTAAAAACACGCATTGATTGGGAACTTCAACAGAGTTGTGAGTCCCTTTTAACTCTGTTCAAATTTATAATCGGTGCCTGTGTTTAAAATTAATGTCAATGAACATCAAACCACTGTTGGCAACTAACCCATTTCTCACATTTGTTGTGGAACCCCCTGTATTATTATATAATATTCCGCTACTTCGTGTTTGTTATTGGAAATTTATTTCTGCTTTAGGGTGATGGACAAAACATTTCGCGTTGTTCAAATGTTGTGGACTTTCAGGACGAATAAAAGAGTATTTCAATTACCTGAAATGTATCGTAAAAATTAACCAATTTTTGGTCTAATCAAAAGATTTATGCGGTTTCACAAACTAACATCAAAATTCAAAATTCAGTTAATTATAAATGAATAGTTTAATTCAAAAAAAAAATCTTTAGGTATACTATTATATTTGGCCAATTGGAGTATTAATTTAAACTATTTAATGTACAGTTGCTTATTGATAGCTCACACATACCTATCACCGACCAAAAGAAAACAAATTGAAGAATTAAAAATGCATCAACTATTGAAAAGGTGTATTGGAAACAGTGGAACTATGAAACTAGTGTTTGATGTTAAAAAAATATTGTTCAAAATGTACAACAATAAAACTGAAAAAACAATAGTTGAAGTAGTGAATTTTGAATCTGGGCAAATAATTGTACATTATCAATAAAAACATTCAAAAAGACTTTAAGAAAGTTACACATTTTTCTACTTTATTGTAAACTATAGGAAGAAATTTCTGAAAGTCCATTCATTTAAATACCTGTAATAATTTAAAAAAATAATAAATAATCAAACTAGATAAATTAAATTACTTTAAATTGCATTAACGGCTAAGTCTATTTTTCCAAATAACTGGTTGTAAAGGAATATAATATGCATAAGTAATTTTTATCCATTTTTTTTCAAATGTTTTATGTGTTCTTTTACCGTTAAAGGTCTACATTTTTCAATTTTTCTACTTTTTAGGTAAATAAAAATACTTTCAATAATATTTATTATTTTAAAAATTAAATTGCCTTAATATTATTTTTTTCCAAATTATTATGGAAAATACTCGTCAAAGGGTCAGTAAAATTAGTTCACTATAGTCATTTTCAAAAAAGTTTAATAGCACTTTAGGTGTTTGGTCTTGTGGTACAAAAAAATGATTAAATGCAGGGAACATTTGCAAAATTCTGTTGACTCAGGAAATAAACTCAACCATATTGTCTTGCTGTGATACAGTAACTCTATGTATGTAATATCACAAGTCTTTCAGTGATTCCTGTTCTAACCGTATAAATAGAAAAAAAAATTGTACATTTTGAAAATTATTCAATATCAAATATATCACATTGATCCACACCATGGTGTATGATATTGTGCAAAATATGTGCAAGACACCCAATACCAAACAAATTTTTATTAACATTGGATTTAAATTTTGAAAATATGTTCTCACCAGATTCACGATTAATGTCACCAAAATGTGTGTGTTAGTGTTATCTCCAACAAATACAATGCATTTACTTTTTAAGTCATTTTTATTAAGTAATTCCAACCAGTGGTGAAACGAACCTAAAACAGCCCAGAAGCAACCTAAAATCGGCCCATGTACCTGCCCACCAATATTTTCGAATATTCTCAGTAATTTCACCTATTTTTAATGATTCGAATACCTACTAATATTTAGTTATTTTCATATATCTAGTACTCGTCCATCCCTAAATCTTAAAACAAAATCAAGAAATGATCGCTTCTCAATGACCCGTTCATTTCGTTACTGATTGCAGCAACAATTCACTAACAGTATCTGAAGTTTCATTTTTTGTATATTTGAGATCAATAAATTTAACATCAATCCCGCCATTTAAATAATCATAGTATTGAATGAGAATTGGAAATATTGTTGTGTTACTGTGATTACTTGCAATGGTGACAATACCTAGCTTATAAAATGTATGCATTTTAAACATTCAATAATAACTTTCAGATAATGTGGTGCCGATACATAATTTACTATTGCTTCCATTTTAGTTTGTGCACAATTTATTTTCTTAGCAGTATTAGAGTCATCAAACATACAACGTAAATTTACAGGTGTACAACCCATAGATCAATAACTATGATGACGTACCACTATACGAAATGCAAGGGTGGTACCTTCCACAGCACTAACTTTTAAAATTTCAGGTGTACTTTTGTCAATAACAAAATCGTCTGAAATTCTAGATAACGAAACTGCTGAACTTTCCATTCTTGACTAAAGTTTAGTTTTATCTAATTCATAAGATCCTGGCGAAAATATAAAAATATCAAGCATATTAAAAGTTATCAATGAATTGGAGGAACTGAGGAAAACCTACCTTTATTAGCAACTGACACATAAAAATCACAGATTATATACTTAGCTTCGCTAACATAACGGCCATCAACATAACATTTATATAATTTTTTCAATCGATCATTGAAGATACATTTTCTTTTTTACATTTTTAAAAACAAAAAGTAAAGACTAATGACTAGTGACTAGGTATTAATTATATTAACTCGTCTTTTTTAAAAGTCTTAGTTAATAAAATTATATTATTATGATAACGAAACTGTTCACATTAACTCATAATAGAGAAATGAAACAAAATAGTTCGAAAAAGAAAAAATTATATCAAAGCATCAAAAATCCGTGCTTATCAAAGACATATAAAAAAAGTTAATAGGTCTATTATTAGGTTAATAGATGCTTACGACACTTTACATTATGAACAGTGAATCACGGCGACGCGTGCTTATCACACGTCCGCCGTTTTCTCGAATGGCAAAACAAACAATTTATGCTTATGAAATGCGTACAAAATTAATTTTTTTATTTAAATTTTATTGAAACATTTATAAGAAGAAAAACAATTATTATTGTATTGGTTTCTAAAATATTTCTGTTACATTGTTAAGTAGACGTTCTCACGTCACGTGGAGGTTTATTTTTAATTAAAAGTATTACCTACATAAATGACTTCGCAATTAATTAACATAGAAATATTTTGCAAACATGAACATTTCAATACAAATTTTTCATTTATTGTAAAATTATTAGTTTTTATTTTTTCAAATGATGGTTTTTAGACAGTTTATAAAATGTGTAAGTTCAGAAGTACAAATTATAATTACCTATTGGTTATTAAATAATATTAATTTATCGAGCACCCGGCGTTAGCTACCTAATAGATCTGTCGGTCGGTTTGGCAATATATCTAGTGTTTTATGAAAACGTATTTTTTAGACATTGCATACAAATCGTAGACACGAAATTTAATTTATGGTTTTCAAGAAACTACCATTTAAACAATTTAAATGTTTAAAAATGTTATTATACATACATAGTTTTAAGCATAAATTACAATTTTAGAATTTAGTAATTTAAAATTATTTGCGAGATGAACGAGAGACCTTACAACAAACTTAATTGTTTGCATCACATCTGATGAACTTCTTACCAACATTCCCCTATGTTTAACCTCAACTAGAGTGGAATAAGAATGTTTGTGATAATAATTATGATCAGTAATGGTTTCTAGTAAACTTTCAGTACATATAGGCCAATTTACTTTTTTTAAATGCTTCTTACTACAAGTCCACTATTATCGTATAAAATATTATCTTTCAAAACTTGAACATTATCATTTTCATAGGAAATCAAGTCTGAGATTTCTTCAGCTATCATCAACGTTTTCATTCAGTTTTCTTATTTCCATCCTATTTCGAATATGCTGTCATAATAATAGTATTAATTAATGCAACACAATTGACGGCATAAGATGGAGTTACCATTTCTTTGAAAGCAATTGTCCAATAGCTGTTCGAAATTCCGGAACATTAGGATTATTATTGTGCCCAATTAGACTTGTGTCTAATTTTAGAAAAAAAAACTTATCTATTTAAGTGGTCTTGTGAAAATTTAAATGTTAAAAGATATTTATAATTGATAACATTAAATACCTAGTTATTTGGCTAAGTTTAATATTGATTTTACAGTTATTGCAAATCCTATAAATATAAAATTCACATTATTTATTTTTTTTTTCGCTTTATAGCTAAAAGCCACTTTTTCATCAATTTCTCGTTAGAATATGGAAGTCTAATATTACCATGATAAATAATAAATTCATAAAATATACATAATATGGTTTTAACTTGTATTGCCATAGGTAATTGTTTAAAATTGGTAGACACTTATCGAAAAAAATGTATAGATTGTCCTGGTTTAGATACCTTTTCTGGCAACCGTATGCAATGCATGAAATTGACATAATATTCTGATGTATCTACTGATACGAGTATGCAGAAATGTGACGTGATTTACTCATTGAACTATAACTATATAGTTCAATTCTTACTCTGTATTAAGTTATCTGGTTATCATTACTTCTATAAATTATTTTAAAGAAAAACGAAATCATAATTTTTATAATGCTACCTGTTATATAGAGAAAACAAAATACGTGCAAAAAAGACATTTAAAAAAAAAAAAAACCGGACGAACGATGACATCTATAAAAAGAGGGCAAATTCTTCCTAAGTGAAGACGTCTGGTGACCCTGAGTAGGTACACTACCATAGTACCGTGTATCTATTGTTATGAAGCCCTGGATAATTTAGTCTAGATTACTTTATGTTGTAATATTATTAGTATATTGTGTTTGTTATGAATATACGATTTGTACAACAGGACGTGGTCGGACGACGTGGGTTATGCTGAGACAGCATATCGGATATGCGTCGGCTCGACACGGCTCTGCCCCCCGAGCATAAGCCAGTTAGTCTGGTTGTAACAGAGCATTTGAACAGAACCTCCGTAAATCTCAATATTATATTTGTCTAATTAATTGTACTTGAATTAAAATATAGTTGTATAATTTAACTTTAAACTCGTGCGCGTTCACTTATTATTTTTATTTGTTGTTGACTTTCTAAAAAGTTCATAACACTATCAGGGTCTGAAAGGGTTAATTTAAACAACAGATAAATAGATTATATCGTGCACATTTTTTTAAGTAACTATCAACATAGGCGCCCGCAGAAATTTTTCTAGGAGAGGAGCATTGTTAGGATTCGAGGAAAAATATTATAATTTACTTGGTATTTTAAAACTACAGCTTTTTTTATTATAATCGAATACAAATTGCCGAAAACACGGATGGGTAAAATTGTTCCGATTCATTTAGTATATCTAGTACATCTTTCGATTTCTGAATTTTTGAGCTATTGTGGTAACCATACCTAATCATTGATTTAGCTGCGAAATTGTCTAGAAAAGAGCTATACTTTTTTGAAATTTTGTCAGTAAGTGATCTATATTGATGTTCATTGAGTTTGCTCATATATCCTGGTAATGATTAAAAAATAGAAAAAGGTACTTCATTTTCTTCTGGAAATCGTTTATTATCGATAGGCTATCAATAATAAAATACATAACCCTTTATTTTAAGTAGGGTTAAGCATTAAGCCAAACAATTTTAACAATGACGCATTGGCGCATAATATTATAGTTTTAATAATGAAAATAAAGCATCACAGATCAGTGAGTTATTAGAACTTGTCAACAAAGAATAGGTACCTATCTACTTATAATAAATAGGTATTTACTAATAAAATAAATAAATACTTACTTTTCAAATATATATACATTGAGACTGTAAAAAAAAAATATATGTCTATAATGTTCCACAAAGACTTAACAAACGCAATAACTTTTGCTGTTCAAATGTTCAATCTTTAAAAAAAAAAAATTGTTTTTACAAAATTCGAGATAGCCATTTTGTAAATATATTTTGTGACCAAATTTATAGTGTTAAAGGTTTAATATCTAGAGAAATGTGTAAAAACGGAAACTATCACATTATGTGACAGTGAATCATAGTCATAATACAAGATAAGAAATGTTGAATTAAAATTGCTATTACTAAGTAACTATATTGATTGAATATAAATGTACGGTATGTTTTCTTAAAATGTTTAGAATAATATTTATTTATTGATTTTGAAAATTTTAAAAAGTTAAAAAATAAAGTTATATTTTTTTTTCAGTGAATATGTGATGAAAATAAAAATTTAATTTTTCTCTACATCTGTGTCCTGACAAAAACCCATTTGAAATTAAAAAATTAATATTGACAAAGTTATTAATGTATGAACATGTAGGTATGCAAACTGTAGGACACCATTAGTTAAAATACATACCTAATAACTTAATATATATTTTATATGCGAGTCCTACTTAATTTTAAAGTCATATTTAAATATTTTAATATCTGCATGGGATTATAAATTTAAAATTTGTTTTTATTTTCATTAATATAGATATCCAATAAATTAATAAAAGAACAATTGACTTTTGTTCATGATATTATAACAAACCTAATACCCCATAACCCATAATCTGGGAATACTCAGAAAAGCTTATGGCCAAACTATTCTATATAATCTACAACAAAATCTAAACCAAAAGAGATTTTTAGAAATAATCATAATTTAAAAACGAATGGAAACCTTATGGAGGAATTTAAAAACTAATATGACTTAATCTCTTTAGACCAAACATTTAGCAAGCAAATTATAGTAACTATCAATTGACACCAATAGTCTTGAAGTTTTATGAACAAAAATTAGCAATAATAATTTGACACAAAACTAGGAATGGTTTTCATAGCACCCAGACAACACCGAGCTCTTCTTGGAATTTAATTTCATTATGCAAGACATATTAAAATAGAATGATAAATACTGTGTCTTATTTTATGCATTTCCATGTAAAAATAATGATTATACATACAATATTATTATACTTGAAGAAAATACAAAACATTATTTACCATAAGTATTTTGAATTAGAATATTACATTAATAATAATGAAGCACACGATAAATCATTTCATGTTGTCAATAAAATAATCGTTTTAAATAAATTAGTAATATTACTAAATTTCATTTTTTTTTTTACATAAATTAATTATGTATGTGATATACATTCTAGGAACATCTATATCATACATCATCAGGATATAGATTTCCAAGTTTTATATGCACAGCCTCATATGCTCATAAAGTAATATAAATGATATCAATACAAGGTGTTTCATTAATAAGGTCTTTGATAATTTGTTTTGGTATTTTTTATGTACCTATATAATTTCAAATAATTTTTGCATTTATTATTTTTAATATTGCTAATTTAATTGAATAAATAATTCTACATTTTTATAATAAAAGTATAAAGTAAAAGTTTAAACAATTAACAAAAACTGATTTATTATGTAAATCGTGGTTTACAAAGCCATAGAATCCCTATATAGCAAAATATACATACATACAGATACAGTGCGTTCAGGTTAAGAGGTACCACTAAATATTTCAGTTGAATGACTTATTGATCTAGTATTGAAATGGAATTTTCGGGAAATGATACGGAGTACCCAAATACACATTTTCAGACAAATTTCAGATTTTTAACTAATTCACTATGCACATGTGTACTACAGCTATTTTTTTTTTTAAATGGCAACACTATTTTTTTTTTGACAAATTCGGATTGGGTATTTTTTTTTAAAACAATTTTCATAATAAAAGTTTTTTTCTAATTACAAAATTGGCAAGTTATAGCATGTTGAAATTTAATATTTACAAATAATCTGTTATTGACGAAATTTTAACTATGTTCAACTTATACTCGAAAATCAAAATGATATCTTCGATATTTTGAAATACCTGTTTATAGATAGATATAAGACACAGACAAACACTTAATTTGTTTTAATGGGAGCATTTAAAAAATATTGCATATGAGTATCCACCTAATAAAGTCCAAGGTTTAAAAGACAAATTACGAGTAGCATGTAATAATTTGAGATAAGACCAAATAAAACGTTGCCACATCAAGAGAATTTTTAAACTGTTTGGAACACCAAGGCAGAAAATTTGAACAATTTATTCGATAAAACTATAGTTACAAATAAATAAATCTTAATATCAAATTCGTAGTGTGTATATTTTTATAATTTTCAATACCTTCAATTTATTTGGAAGAATAAATGAAAAATATAAGAGTAAATTACAAAAACAAAATAGTGTTTATTAGTGTCTTATATCTATCTACTAATAGGTATTTTAAAATATCACAGATACTTCGATTTTCGAGTATAAATTGAACATAGATAAAATTTCATCAATAACAGATTATTCGTAAATATTAAATTTCAACGTACTACAACTATACTAACTTTGTAATTAGAAAAAAACCTTTTATATGAAAATTGTTTTAAAAAAATACTCTGTCCGAATTAGTTGAAAAAAAAAATGGTTTTGCTATTTAAAAAAAAATATTTGTAGTACGCATGTGCGTAGCGAAAGTGTTAAAATTTGAAATTAATCTGAAAATGTGTATTTGAGTACTTCCTATCATTTCCCGAATATTCCATTTCAAACTAGGTCAACCAAATGAAATATTTAGTGGTACCTCTTAGTATGAACACACTGTGTACATACATACATACATACATGCATGCATACATAAAAGTATATGTAACAATATTTTAACGATAACAGAAAAAAAAAACGAAATTAATTTACAAAATATGAATGCTATTGAAAAATGTAAACAAATATTACAACTGCCCTACACCATTAAGGTGTTCAATGTAAATCTAGTGCTGTCTACTTCCATAGTCCTAGTGTAACATGCCCAATAATCAGAAACTTCTTAGAAGTAAAGATATATGAATTAATTAAGTTCCCAACACAAAACAAATTATCACGATAAAAACACACATCTATAAAACTACATATTTGAAAAATATTCCAAGTCTAATCAATTAAATTATTTGAAATTATTCTAATGCAGTAAAATCACAAGTTCAAATATTCTTATGTAAAGTGTAGCAAAGATGCATTTGACTGTGGTGGACTTGCATTGATTGATGTTGATCATGGCCATGTTATGTACAGGTTGTAACAAGACTACATTGTAGTGATATGTAAAAAAAACAAATTATCGTGTCACACTATGTATAATCATGCTCTAAGTCTGTTGTGCTGTCGGTCCTGGTCCATATGATTCTTAATATGGCCATATTTCCAATTTAATAAGGTTGAGTATAGAGTTGCATATTGCTATATATAAAATAAATAGAAATTTATATAAATAATATATTATAACAGTATTACCCAACAGGGAGGGGATGAATACTTGAGGAGGAATTTAGGTACTGTGTGGTGGATAATATAGTAATGAGGAAATTGCAAGAATAAAATATAAAATGTGCACATTTTTCTCATATTTTGTTACACACAAGTTGGAAAACATTATATTATAGAGTATAATCGAAAACTCGAGTTGTGACACACAATACAATACTTCGCTCTAGGTCCACCTAGAAAAAAAGTGAAAGGGTGACATTATTTTAGACATACCAACAATGGCCTATTTTTTGGTTCAATACATACTTAGTTTTGACATACATGGTTCTCGCACTGTGAAGGAAATCATTTCATTAACTTGGCAATGAACAGATTATTGTTTAAACTCCAGGCCCCTAAGTTTGTCATTGATGAATACGGCTGCCTCTGCTCCATAGCACTCTACCAACTCCCAAAAGCTCCACATATTTTTTTCAGTATTTCATATAAAGTTACTTTGTAATCAAAGTACAATTGTAGTCTTGCATATTTTTCCATTAAAGTAACATTGTATTTTGACAAACATGGCAATTGGGTGGTTTTTTTTAAATTATTCCTTATGTCTTGAAATTCCAGTCTTGTCAGTGAACCATTTTGTAATATTCCACGATGAATTTAAAATACCCATTATTCAAATGTAATATATAGGACGATGAAGATTTTATAGTAGAAATAAAAATTCTGAGATTTTAGAAAACGAAACCAAACGAGCATTTTAGTATAATTAAAATATAATTATGTGATAGTTATCACAATATAGATAAGGTGATGCCGTTCTCGAATCCTTCAACGTTAAATTATGGTAAATGGGTGGTTCACCAGAGTGCATTAGCATTTGCCTTAAGGCCGATTTTTATACACGTTTTAATAGTGATTTATAGTTAATATTTAGATAGATGTTAAAATTAATATAATATATAAATTATGTTTATTTATTTATTGATACATATTATAATAAATATACACTAGATAGCCCACTGGTATGATTAATAGCATAACGTATTCATAGGTAGTCCAGACAGTCGCAATTTCCAAAAATTAATTACATAATACGGTTCACATATAATGTTTGTCAAATATTAGACTACTAGATTGATAACAAATTCTTATCATTGTATATCATAATTATGAAATACATAATTTACAGTATTTACACATTTTATACAAAGGCATATTTTGTAGTCCAATTGGAATTTATTATTTATTAAACTTTATTAGCTGTACAAAATTTTAGATAAAATCAAAGGTGTAAGTCTACTTTATCGGACACCTTTTTTTTTTCTCTGAAAACATGTGTTTTTTTGACGCCGATTTCGGAACTGTTTGAATATTTTTGTGGAAATCACTATTAAAAAAGTTGTGGAAGTTTGAAGTTCGTCGTTAATACGGTTTTAGATTACATACCTATTTGTTTTACACTCATCCATTTACAATTGACCATGGCGCATTGGGTAATGCGTTAGCCAGAGGAACTGTGGTATCGAGTATACCAAACTGGTCCAATGCCCAATAAATTTTTGGACTTTTTTTTTGTAAAAAAAAACACGTCTAATTTCCGTATATAATTTAAACATTTCTATTTTGCCCAGAGACTCATCCTAATCAATTTTTTTCACTGTATGTTACCTACCTGACGTGGTTTTGCATAACAAATCGAGGGTTATTTTCGATTAAAACAGTCCGATCGAGTGAGTGACTCCCCTAGATCTCTTATGTGCACCCAAAATGCTTTTTCATGAAAAAAAAAAAAAAGTACAATTTACTGAGCATTGAACTGGTTATATCGAATTCAATACCACAGTTCCCATAGCTAACCAGTTACCCAATGTGCCATGATCAATTCTAAATGAACGAGTGTAAAAAAAATAGGTATGTAATCTAAAACTGTATTAACGACGAACCCCAAACCTCCATAAGTTCTTTAATAATGATTTCCGCAAAAATATTTAAACAGTTCTGAAATCAACATCAAAAAACTCACGTTTTCAAAAAAAAAAAAATTTTAAAATTAAGTGTCCGATAAAGTGAAATTGTTCCTACATGTCCACATAATATCATATCATATAATAATTTATTTTCCAGAAAACCCAAAAATCCAAATTCATCATTGTAAATAATTTGTGACCACCAGATTTTAGTGGTACCTACCAATCTGTTCAGTGTTCAATCTAGCAAAACATACTTTTACTCTCATTGGTGTCATTGAAAACTAATTTGAATTTATTTGGTCACGAATTATTTACATTAATAAATTTAGAATTTTGGGTTTTTGGGAGAATAAATTATTATATTATGTGGATGATGAACACGTATTCAAAATTATCTTTAATTGTAATACACACACAACACATCATAGTAAAACCAATAGATCCCCCCCTATGCTCCGAATCTAAACCTTATGAAATACTAATGCATACCTACTACATAAAAAGTAAAAGTGGGTACTAAGGTACTTTAACTAATACTTTATATAATTACCTACTTATTTTATAATCTTGAACATTTATTTTTGAACAATTTCTATAGTTTCCATAATTTATAGTTTTATTAATTTTTCACATAATTCATGTTGTAGCTCTAATCTAAGAATATTCCAATAACTTAGTACCACAATGTTGATGAAATTTTATCTGCATAGTAATTAGTACCTATTAACATTGATTAAAAAATCAACAATCAATGCTACTACCTATGATAATTATTGTACAAAATAAATTTGCGTGGGTTATATATTTGACCAATCACTACAGAGTTTTAGTTATGGAAAATTTTATAAAATATTTGATCGTCTGAACAATGTTTGCAGTTTATCAAATATTTGATCCTGTAAACCAAGCTTAATCAAAAATCTAATTTTTAATTAATAAAGGAGGCATGCAATTTTTGAAAATCTACAAAAAGGATATGGAATAAAAAGAGTAGGGAAACATTGTATTAAAGAATATAATTAAAAACTCAAATTTTCACACACAATACAATTTTTCCCTATAAGTACAATTACAGGTCAGATTATATCTGAGAAGAGGTGAAAAGATGATAATATATTAGACAAACCAACAACGGCTTATTTTCTGGTACAATACATATTTAATATTTTACTTTAGACACATGTGGTTCTGGCAAGAAGTGTGTGGGCACAATGAAGGAAATCATTTCACTAATTAAAAAAACTTGATAATGAACAGATTGTTGTTTAGATCCCAGGCCTCTAAGTTTGTGATTAATGAATAGAGTCCTATGTCTGCCACATAGGACTCTGCCAACTCTCAAAAATTCCACATATTTTTTCCAATGCTTAATATAAAATGATATTATTTTCAAAGTACCTAAAATAATTTGAAAATAAATTAGTAAAATAAAATTAAATAAAAAAGGCTCTTGATATAAAAAATATATTATTACCTGTAGCTCATCATTCTGGACGCTCTCAATATTATCTTTGACCAAGTCTAAAAGAAGGTGTTTTATTAATCTGCCTTGTATACAATTAAAACCTTTTTCTTTAATAAACATCCATACTTTAACACATAATGGGAGTGACACTAATTAGAATTAACACTGACAGCATATGCCAAATGAGGAAAATCAAACCATCATCCAAAGCCTTCCACTAGTCTATACAATTAAAACAAAATATAACTTTTAGTATTTAATTAATATTTAAATGTTAAAAATTTAATATTAAAACAGTATTTTGGTAAATATATTTTCTTAAATCATGATATTTAAAATTAAAAAACAACAATCATTTTAAATATTAATACTCAACAAAATGTGTTTTAGATTCTGAATGTAGCGAAGAATGTATCGGTTTTACAATGATATTCTTTTTTCTTATTTTATATTGTGTACAAAAATTCTACCAAAAATCTTGGTTGGATGTATATGATGTAGTCTCTTTTCTTAAAGGAAATTTTCTTGAGGTGGTACTTTAGGGAGGTCATATTTTGATTTCCAGCAGTTTTCCCAATAAAAGGTAAAAAATGAGAAAAACATAAGAAAAATAGGAAATTTATAAAAATAATGCTTTTATTATTTTTAAAATTTTGTTAAATAGGTACTCTGTGGTAAAATTATTAGACTTAACAGAAATGTAAATTCAACAGGAGATTTATTAAGTCTTAATTTATGGTAAAAAAAAAAAAATTAAGTTTAATGTAGTATTTTTTTATAAAGGAATTTTAATATCAAATTTCATTAGATTTTGAGTAAAAAATTATGTGGAACAAATCTAATTACTCAATTTTTTGTTTTGAACACAAGTATATTGCCGATTTAAGAAAAATGGTTAAGTCAGAATTGAGCAAACTAAGTTTTGAAATTATAGCTTTTGAAGTTCCGATATTATGCGAATATTATTTGTTATATTAAATAAATCTATATTGTCTCTTTAAAAGTATGTTAGCCTAATGGTTATAGATACCTATTGTCATCCTAGAGCTCATGAGATCAAACCCAGGTATCAAAAAAATTGTTTGCATTTGTTTTTTCCCTGTTTAGGTAAAAGGGAAAAGATAAGTGCATTAAAAGTGTACTAGAACATCCTAGGATAACTTTTTTTTTATTTAAAATTGTCGAACAATTAACTGATTGTTTATAAAAGACCTATATTATTATTATCTAAAATTAAAATAATTATATAAATTTAAAGAGTTCAAAATATTTTGACTAAAATTATCAGTTACAAAATTGTATTTATTTATGAATGGCAATAAAATAAGTAGAAATATGACAGTAATACAGATATTAACAAACAAATACTGATTTTTATGGACAATAATACAAAAGAATACTGATGATCGCAGAAAAAAATAAAACAAAAAATCCACTGTCTTTGAAAAATTTGTATTTGTATTACAAATGTTTTAAATTCACAAGTTTTCTATTTCTAAGTTTTTTTTACTAAGATCTATAATTAAAAATGTAACCAAAGCATAAATTCTTAACCTTATAAATAATTTTAACAAACATTGATGATCAAATATATACACCGTGTTTCAAAAGTCTTCATCTGATTTCAAAAATGTAAATTTATTTTAAAAATAAAGATATAGTGGAACCTTGATAAGTTGAAATTCAAGGAAAATGCAATTTTTTTCGACTTATCGAGGTTTTAGGAAAAAAATTTGACTTAGAGTTTTTAAAACGTATGTACATTGTACATATTATAGTTTTTAATTATTTAAGAATTGAATTTACCCAGACCCAGTCATGCTAACAGTCAATAATAATAGGAGTCATTCTATGGTATGCTTACTAATATACTAATAACTGGGCTATAGTAATTAATGTTCTTACAGAAATTAAAGGTAATAATAAACAAAAGCCACAAATGTGATGTGAAGCAAAAAATATTTTAAAAAAATCTGGCTTTTTTTCGAAAATGTTTTCATGTCAATATTTTTGTGATGATCTTCTAAGTTTTAATGTTGTTAGTAAACAGTTACAGTTTATTGATATTATTGTTGAATTGTATGAATCACTCATTCATTACATTTCTGATATATAGAATGAAAGAATTTTTAAATTTCACGAAGATCAAGCTTCTAAATTACGAAGAGTGAGCACAGTATGTAAATTAGATGTACAATGGAGAACGAAAAGAAACATATGATAATTTAACATCAAAATATTCCTTTTTTTTTTTTTTTTTTAAAACCTAAATACATTATATTTAGAAGTTTATTAATATGCTGAAAAATTATGTGAAATATACATATTTAGATAAAAAATGTTTGTAATGAATGTGTATATTTCCAAAGTCATATTAAATCTCTCAAAGATATAGCCCCAAAAAATATTTGGAATCTAAGTATAATGATACAATCTAAACGATTTAATCTATGTTGACTCAAAATATTTTTGTGTACCTTAGCAACAAATTATTTTTTGAAATTATCATTTTCAATTCTAAGAAGGATAAGATAATCTAGATCGGTTATAAATAATGATCATCTAAATGCTTTGGCTATATTAAACATTGAAAATGAACCAACTTTCAGCATCAATTATGATAAAGTAATAAAAAATTTTTGTGAAGTCACATTTCAGGAAAAAAAATTTAATTATAAATTAAAAATAAAATTGTTTTTATATTGTATTACTGCAGTTTTTTTTTTGTTGCTCCAGGGCAACAAATTCCTAAATACAGCCCTGTTTGAAGGTAGGTTATAGACTGGAATTTAATGTATATCTGTAAGTAAGAGAAACTATTGCTAACGAAGAAAAACGAGTTCAGTTGATAGATTTTTGGACTAGAAATAATATTTAGTAGAGGTGACCTATAGAGGCATAACACTTAATGAGACCAAAAAAAATGATGTTACATATAGGTGACCATTAACAGAAGTTTTACTGTAATAACAAAAAATAAATAAAAATAATTGCCAATGACAACCTTATTTTTAATCTTTCAATCTTTTTTAACATAAAGAACCAGGGTTTTCTCATTATCTCAAATATTAATGAGAATTTCAAAAAACTACTTCTCTAAAGTACCACCCAGAGAACATTTATTTTCAGAAAAAATATTATACTCGATAATGGGAGTAAGTTTTCTGCTAGTGTTCACAAAAAAAAAAATTCACAAATTTCTCATTACCTGTTTATATTTGGAACACAGAATGTTTGAGTTATCTATAGTTTTTCTTTCAAGCAATCGAGGTTTTCACGAGAGACCAGTATTTTTTTTGACGTATCGAGATTCCATTGTATAAGAAATTCAGTAAAAAATATATTTAAAATAATCAAGTTTTAATTAATTAAATTAAAAATGTTTAATATAACCTACACAGGCCATCCGACATACATCTATAGGTATCTATTCAAATTTCTTCCATATAAGGTACGAGGTTAATTTAATTGTTTCTGAGCACACATACAACCAATATTTCTTAGAGCATTTGATACCATTCAATACTTTGGAGTAGTTTAGGCTTCACTTCCATGGGATTTTCGAAAATAACGTTGAATAATGTTGTTGACTTGAACTGACTGAAACAAAGGACGCAACACACTTTCTGTGATGGAGTCACTATTCTGAAATAAAATAATAGCAGTTCATTAATAATTACAGAATTTATCAGTAGCTTTACTTAAAATAAACTTAATTATCTTATCTTTCCATTATTATATAGGCCTTTAACCTGCGATTAACAATTTGTAATCAGACTTTTGAAACACAAATTATATTACAGCAATATTTCCCAACAGTGGAGGGATAGAGAGGAATTTAGGTACTGTGTGGTGATAAAAATATAAAATTATCATATTTAAATTTTAAAACAATTTATCTCATATTTTGAATAAATTAAGGAAGTACAAAATGTTTGAAAATCTACAAGGGGACTTAGAATCAAAAAATTTGGGAAACACATTATTGCACACAACACAATCCTTCACTCTAAATGCAATTCCAGGTCCTTTACCTCTGAGTAAAATTTATTAAACTCTGTCCAGGAGAGAGCATGCTGCGAGATTACGAAAATAAGTGGTCTCTCCACAGTTCCTTTAAAATAGCGAAAATCAAACATAATATGGAATAAAAAAGAGCAAAATTCATTTAATTGAAAAAATAAATAGAGAAAATTTAAAAAAATAAAAATATACAATACAAATTATTATTTTTGTAGTACAAATTTACTATTTTTTGAATCTATTCAATCGAAACCCTGTACTTATTTTTTCCCTCATATTATTCATTCCAGAGCGAGATTACTCATATTTAATTTCCTCCAAATTCTGTTGTCTTTAGAAGCATTTTAAACATTTTTGTTATATGTATAATACTGTCCGAAATCACATTTGTAATCTTGAATTGGATCCTAAAATATTTCACGTAGAAAAATACTGTTTCCCTACATAATATATTATACCTTCGGCATGTGTAAAATATTTAGTAGACGAAAATTGAAAAAAAATCATGAAATGTTTGTACAAAACTTAAAATGATGGATTTTTCGCTCATATTTTTATTTCTTCATTTTGTTTTTGTTTTTTTGTCAAGATACCGCTCTACACATACCAACCATCTACCGCCTTTGGCTGCGAAATTTGAATGCATGGAGGGAATACGATGGCGTGGGACAAAATATAGATATGTACAGAGCTAGGATTTATATGCAACAACATGTTTTTTTTGTGACATCTGATTATTGATTTTGTCAGTAATTTCCACGAATCACCTCATGATGAGATAAGTGGCGGTGTTTTTATTTTGCATGTTTTTGCATATTTTGGATAAAATGCATATTATTGCATATATTGAATAAAACGAATATTATTGCATATTTTGATTATAAGAATGCGAAAAATGCATGTTTCACAGTATATTTCGTAATTAATATTTATAATTTAATATTAATATTTCGTATTTAATTCTAGCCCTGCTAATTAAAGTAAAAAACTTGATTTTTTGTGAAACATAAATTTTATTTTTATAAATACGATTCTACGGTACAATAGGTATGCGATAAAAGATTGAATAGTTTGACGGAGAAAGACTTTATGAAAGTCTATAGATTATTAAAAATGCTAGGAATCGAATTTTTGAGTGCAACGGAANAATCGGACGAGGACAATTTCAGTTGTAATTTAACACCAGGACAAATTTCTTTATTTCAATATACGCTAACTACATCATTGAACGGAGCTTCAGTCAATATAAATCAATACTACGATCCAATCGCCGATCATTTATATTCGAAAATTTAAAAAAATATGTTGTCGTAACATGTAACACACGTATTTCCACTATTGAATGTGAATTATAAATTTTATTTCTAAATTAATTTATTTTATTTTATTTCTCAATAATATTATATTAAGACAAACAGCCAATCACTAATGTATTTCAATAAATAAATACATTTTGTAGCTATATTTTTGTATTTATCTTATACAAATTTAAATGCATATTTTTGCATATTTTGGTAAACAAAATGCATATGTTACAATGTTTTATTGCATACAAATCCTAGCCATGGATATGTAATATTTTGAAGTACATACCCATATCCCAGAAAAGATGGCAATATATTAGACATACCAACAATGGATTATTTTTCAGTCTAATACATACTTATTATAACTAATATTTTTGATACATGGTTATCGCATTTCACTAACTGCAAAACTTGGCAATAAACAGATTGTTGTTTAGACCTCAGGCCCTCAAGTTTGCCATTGATGAATACCTCTGCTCAGTAGCACTCTGTCAACTCTCAAAAGTTCTACATATTTATTTAATGTTCAATATAAAGTAATTTTGTAATTAAAGTACCTACAATAATTTTAAAATAAATTAATAACAAAAAAATTGGCTTTTGGTCATGACCAGGGCTCGTGACTTATTGCATTTAAAATGTCACAAGCCTTGAAAAAAAAGTACAGTCAAACTTGGTTAATTCAAAGTTGAAGGGACCAGAAAAAAAGTTTGAGTTATCCAAATAAAAAAATTTACATATGATCACGTTGAAATGTAATGGAGCACTAAACATTGAAGTGTATATGTATGTTAGTAGATTGTTAATGAATCATTGTTGTGTGCTGTGTAGTAAATCAGTTGAATAAACCACTTATCGTTAAAGATAACACTAATGACTTTATTTTTGATAGTAAATGTACATACATAAGGAAAATAAGTATCATAATTTCATAATTATAAAAATCAAAATTTCGAGTTATTCACGAAAATATTCGAGTCAATCAAGATTTGTTGGACTGAAGGAAAAAGTTTGAAATATCGACGATTTCGACTGTACTTCAAGCAAATATTGTCAAGAACAAATGGTAGGTAGAAGGGTTTAAAGATTCCCTATCTAATAACTTTAAGTTATTAAATATAATTTTCTAACACAACATTTTAATTACTAAATTAAAGCTATTAGAAGGGAAAACTATTCTATTGTTTTTGATTTTTTAAATATTTTTCAAGTGCATTGTTCAGAGTTTTCTAGACATTTTTAAGTGATTTTTTGTAGATCTTAAGTGCAATAAGTTCCAAGTCCTACTTATGACTCTTGATATACAATATATATATTATTTATTTATTATTATTACCTGTAGCTCATCATTCTGGAATCCTTAGGAAAAAATTATATTTTGCCTATGACAAGGTTTAAAACAATTAACTTTTTTTTTTATAAACATCCATAAATGAAACACGTAATAGGAGTGACACTGATTAGAATCAACACAGACAGCATAACTATGCCAGACTAGGAAAACAATAACCACGTTCCAAAGTCGCAATCGGTCTATAAAATTAAAATTATTGTTTTCAATTAATACACCATATAACTATTAGTAATTAATTAATATTTAAATGTTAAAAATATAATACTTCAACAGTAGTTCTTCATTCTAGGTGCAATTACATGTCCGATTATACCTGACACCGTGCATCTTTAGGTAAAGTACATACTACATACCTATGTCCCGGAAAATTTGAAAAAATATTAAACACTTCAACAATAGTCAAAAGCTTATTTTCTGGTCTAACACATACTTACATTATTTTGGACACATGCGGTAAAAGCGTGTGGGCACATAACACTAGTGAGAGATGAAGGAAATCTGGAAATCATTTCACTATTTCAAAACTTGACAATGAACAGATTGTTTGCACGATTATCTATCTATATTAAATAACTATGTTTAAAAGTAAAATTGAAAATAATATTTTTATTTTTTAATATTATAGCAATATTGATAATAGAGTAGTTCGTAAACTCATGATAAAATAAAATAAAATAGATAAATATTTTTCGTGTAAAGTTAGGTACGGTAAATGTGATTTAGGAGTAATTGTGACTGGTAGATAATTAACATAATTATATACCAGACGACATTAAATCGATGCGTAATATTATCAAATTTCAGCTGCTAAAATTTGTGTGTTTGTCGTATTATTTCATATTGAGTTATCAAGTCCCGCATAAAGTGGTGTGATAAAACTTACATGTAAAAAAAAAAAAAAACGTTCTTTGATAATGCGACGGGTGCAGCCACTGTTATAGATAATTGTTATGTATACCTGTAAGCAACGATAAACCATTGTTTACGAAAAATGATTCTCATGAGAGTTCAGTTGATAATGATGCTTTGTCAACAATATATATAATTTCATAATAAAATATAGGATGGTTATAAGATTTTTTAAGGAAAGAAAATTTAAAACGGCAAGTATCAAAAAAGCAAATGGCAATATTATATATGAAGAAACAGATGTAGCAAAATGTTGGAAAACGTACTTAGAGCAACTGTATTGCGAAGAAGATATGACAATAGACGCAGAGATAGAAGAAGAAAATCAGAGTAACACGGAAGAAGTAAATCAGAGTATAATGAGAGAAGAGTTTGATAAAGCATTACTGGAGCTGAAGAACAATAAAGCACCCGGAGTTGATGAAATTCCAGCGGAACTTATAAAAATTGTGGAGAAAATAACAAAAAGATAATTTATGAACTGATCAATAAAAGCTATGAAACTGGCAAGCACCGAGAGATTTTACAAAGTGCATAATTGTACCAACTCCAACAAAAACAATGGCAAAAATATGTGAACAACATAGAAGAACTAAGTTTAATATTGCATGTGTCAAAAATCCTTATCCTAATTGTATTAAAGAGAATGGAACAAGTAATAGAGGGACTGCTAACTAAGGACTGATTTGGCTTTAAGAGAGGAAAAGGCACCAGGAAAGTTATTTTGGCAATAAGACAAGTTATTGAAAAGCAGAATAGAAAAAGAAAAACAACTTTTATAGCTTTCGTCGATTTAGAAAAAGCCTTTGATAATGTGAAATGGAAAACGATATTTAAAATCTTGAAAAGAGTCTGGGTTACATATAAGGATAGAACGATAATCAAAAGCTTGTACTAACAAGAAATAGGAGTAGTCCGATGTGGAAATAGCCAGGAAGAAGCAAAAATAAGGAAGGGAGTGAGGCAGTGGTGCACACTGTCTCCATCACTTTTTAACCTGTATGTACAAGAAGTGATAAATAAAGTAAGAGAAGAAATTGAAGCAGGGATAAAAATAAATGGTGAAAGAATAGATATGCTAAGATTTTCAAATGACATAGCAGTAATAACAGAAAATGAGGAGGATCTATAGAAAATCTTAGAAATAATGAACTAAACAATGAAAAATGAATACAATACAGTATGAAAATAAACAGGGCAAAGACTAAGTCCTTGTTTGTAGTGAAGGAACCCAAACTCAAATTACACCAGAGCAAGTGAATGAATAAAAATACTTGGGAAGTAAGATAACCGAGAACGGCCGTAGTACCAGGGAGATCATAAGTAAAATAAACCAGGCTAAATGTGCATTTCAGAGCAAGAAAAATATGTTTATATCTAGAAATATTGATATAAGTGAGGAAAAATCTACTAAAGGCTTAAGTTTGGACCGTAGCTCTGTATGGAAGTGAAACTTGGACTATAAGTAAAACGGAAGAAAAAACACTCCTAGCGTTCGAGACATGGTGTTACAGAAGGCTACTTAGAATAAGCTGGACAGAACACCTAACAAATGAAGAAGTTTATCGAAGAGTCGGAGCAACAAGAAGCCTTCTGAAGATATTAAAAACAAGAAAACCCAAGTTAATAGGACACACATTGCGGCATAACAGTCTACTTAGCATGATAATAGAAAGTGCCTTTGAAGGGAATGACAACAGAGATTACATGGATTACATTAGTTAAATAATTAGAGATATGGACTGCAGATCTTATTGCGAATTAAAAAGGAAAGCGGAGAAGTGCCAGGAATGGAAAATTGCCGCCAACCAGCCTTTGGGATGTTAACATAAAAAAAAATAATTAAATAATTAAATTTATATATTTTCATTAATAATAATTGTTTTTGTTTTACCGATTTTCCCAGTTTTCCCAAGTTTTGTTCTGGTTTTTCATATTTTCTGTGAAAACTTTAACTTAGGAAAATCAAAAAATGACTTCTTTAAAGTACCTCCCTTGTGAAATTTTCTTTTAGAAACATTGCTATTATTAAAAGTTAGGGTGAAATTGCTGGCAGAAAAGTTGTACACGGAAAAAAAATAAACATCTTTATAAAACTATAAGCTTCTTTGCTCCACACAGAATCTAAAATTCAGTACCTTTTGGTATTGGTTCTTCATCAAATACATTAAATTTCATCATAGATTTGAATGAACTAAATGAGGAAGTTCATTAAAGATATTTTAACAATTTAATAATTAAATAACATAATTTTACATTATATTTTATTTAATTACAATTTCACCCTTGTCACTTAATTAAGGGTATTGAATAAATGTGTGGAAAGTGTGAACTGGGAATCATTTAGAGATAGGCTTTGGAGATAATAAAATCTGAAAAACTAAAATTATCAATTTTTAAAAAAAGTTTATTACTTTTTATTGGTTAATTTTTTTTTTATAATTGTATCAAATAAATTCTTAAAACTAGATTATCTTACTTGCCCTAAAACATTTCAATATATTCAATGACACAATTTTATATGTCAATTCACAATTGCTCCAAATAATGGGGAAAATGTGACTACCGAGATTCTATTTAAATTAGTAGTAATTAGTTAAATTATAATTTATTGAACCTTTTAAGTGTAAATTTGTGATCTCTGGAAGTTTTCAGGCAATGTTTGATAAATAATACATAGTCCATTTAATGAAGATGTTACTAAAAAAAAAAAGTGGTCACATACCAAAACTTAATTAGTTGCCTTAGTTAAGTCGTAATTTTAATTTGTGTATAAAATAGAATATAAAAAAGAAAATAGAAAATATTATATATCGAACTATATAAATAAAAAAAACCATGTACTTAGTCAAAAATTAAAAACACAAGGTTTACCATATTTTTTTAGTAGACTTACTTCAGATTCTGGAAAAATGAATCAAAAAATGAAAACGGTTTCTTGTGCAGATGTTTTCACAACTATAAACATATAATAATAATTAATATTAATATTATTATAATTATAATACATTACAATTTTATATTAATACACCCAGATAATAACACCAATGGTAGGGAGAAGGAAGATGCTCGCTGACTTCCCCTAATATTTAACCAGGTACTGCTGCAAGAAAGGTGCTGAGTCCTAAATGTAAATCTAAACTTTGCTATGCAAGATCAGGTCTTTTAATCAAATATAAATATCCAATACAATAAATAATTGTTGTTATGCAAAACAAAGTTTCAGGAAGGTAACAGATAAAAGCGCAAAGTTAGTTCCACTTCATGTTTAGTTGGTCTACTATAAGATACTATAAGACTATATTGAATGAGATAGCTCATAATGTACTTAAACATATCTACATGGAGTGATAATACAGCAGTTTGTGGATCCAGTTTTATAAAGTTAATACATTCCTAGACAATGATTGTCTTAAAGGTAATTTAATTATTTTCTATAATAATAAAATAAGTTAAACAAAATAGATCCAACAAAATTTTTCTTTATTTTTATGATTTAAAAATGTAAAAACTATTACAGGTTTAGCTTATTAGGCTATTTAGTATTTAAAAATATATTGTTTTCACAACAAATGTTAATTGTATGACATAATATGTACAAGGACTTTAGAAATTAAGAATAATATTGATCAATTAATAAAAATAATTATAATTAATAGTATATTTTAGTAAAACAACTTGTTTACATTTTAAAAAATAAATGAATTATTTACTTAAAATAATATTGAACACACAATAAAATTTATTAAATTATTTAATCAGCCTTTACAATAATATAATTTTAAAATGTAGCCATGTTAAAAAAATATATTTTAAATCTGAGCTACTGAAAATTATCTTTTAACTTATTATAATTGTATTAAATATTAATATAATAATAATAATTTATATTATGTTCAATATTATTTCTAAATATATTTAATTTTATCCTTAATAAAAAATTTAAAAAAAAATCATAAATGCATAAGATAGTAGAGGAATGTCTTACTTATTGGCTACTATTACTTAACTATAATAGTTTACAGTAAATTAAAAAAAAATATAGGATACTTTTATGTGATTTAATAGCATAATTTATTATTTAATATTTCGTAACACATCCTATATCTTAACTTAGGCATATCTGCTTGTGTAAAATCTAATTTTGCATCACGAGATAGATATTCTGCATTAATACAAGTAAATACTCCACAATCATAACTATTCTTTTGAATTGGACAATCACCAATATTCACTAAATTCCATCCACTACAGTTGAATTTTTCATTTTTCTTGTTTTCATATTCTTCTTTTAAGTAACCAAAAATAATGTTTAAACATTTAGAATTTGTTCCTCCTAAACTATCATAGTATTTTATGGATTTCTCAGCAAAATCAACATATATGAGACACCAGTGATTGCCCAAGTGAATGGGAATAAATATTTTTTTGCATTTAAATATATCTTTTCTTCTGGACCAACGACTTACAGATTTATATCCTTGATCACTATAAAAAAACAATAGATTAATAAAATAAAAATAATATTTAAATATTAAATTTATTAATTTACCTCAATTTAAAATAAAAAAATGTATTGAACATATGTAAAGAATCTGGATCTCGCTCAACAATCATACTCATATAATGATTTATAACTTCATCATTTAACCAAGCTTTTGATGAAAACACTGTGTTTAAGTCACTTAATTTAATATTTTGTCCTTTTGTAATATATCCATTTGGTTTCCTCATTTCACATTTAATAAACTCAATTTTATCATTAGAATAACCAGGGAAAACATCTTTTGATCTTATTGGTAGTTTAATTTTGTTTAATTGTTCATGCATAATTTCAAGTTTTTCATTTAATATTTCATCAGGTGATTTGTGTTGAACTTTAGGAGTAGCTAAAGCAACGGCTGCTTGGGTTTCTTTAAATTTTCTTAAAATACGATCATAAAAACACTCATGTTTGATAACTCTGTTTGTGTGAAAGCTTAGTTCAGGGATTACAGAATTTTCTTTACTAGATGTTTGAGGTAAGTTAAATTGATTTGAATCATGTTTGTTTTGAGTATTTAACATAGGTCTTGAAATAGAAATTGGTGTTTCTATGGTTTCAACTTTTGGTAAAATCAAATGTTTTATAATTTTTGTCAATATTTTATTTGTGTTTTCGTCAACTGAAGAATCATTCATTTTTAATGCAGAAAACCTACGTTCCATACTCAAATTCAAATTTCTAGTTTCTGTAAATTAAAATTAAATTATTTATTAAAAAATAAATGTTTAAATGAATAAATATTTTTACCTTTAATTGATGATGTAAGTGTGCATTTATCTTCAAAACTATTACTTGTGTTTTTATTCATACTAGCATTACCATTTAAACACAGTTGATTTGACAAACTACTTGATCCATCAACTTTAATTATGTTCTCTTCATCACTACTTTCAGTTAGATCTATTGGTGACATGATTTGATTTTGATTAAGTCTGCCATCAAGAATAAGAGGTGGGTTAGCTCTGAGTGGTACATCGGATGGTCCAGGTTCAATAATTTCCACCTCTTCGCCTTCAGTAAGGGATTCATCGCCAATTTCAACTACTTCTACAAGACTATCTTCCATTCGCATTTTTTTATTACTTATGATTTCACATTCGTCATTTTTACGCTTTAATGATTCCTTAGGTCTTGTAATACCAGTCTTGTCAGTGAACCATTTTGTAATATTCCATAATACATTTAAAATACCCATTACTACAATGTAATAAGTATTTATGATGATGGAGTTTTTATATAATCCAGCAAGTTTTCAGCTGGAATTTTAAAAAATGAAACCAAACAAATATTTTAGTATAATTCAAATATAATTATTTTATACAAAGAAATAAGAATGTGTAAAAATGTTATCTTACATTGGTTATCAGAGAACTGTGTTGAATTAGCTGCAGCTAGTGGTAGAATAGGTATGTTTTTGTAATTAGTCAGTCAAAATGATGAATGGATCGTGTGTTTTGATGTAACAATCATGACAAAATAAATGTATTACTAATAAAATTAATTAATTTTTTCGTAGTAAGAATAATGTAGTTAATTACACTCAAATATTCAATAGTTGTTTTATTTATAAAAGATCAAATATCAATTAGATATGTCAATTTGAAACACATTGACTAAATATTAAATACTTTAAATCATATTACACTATGCATGCGCTGATAATTTGAAGCACATTTTTAGAAACGAGTTTCTCGTCGAAACTCAATTGTGCGAGGGGTACGGCTATGTGCAGTAGAGGAACACGCCTTATCATTTGATACGTTATCAAATTTTATTTTATTTAATATTTTCACCGTCATATTATGATATAGCCATATAAAACCAATTATTATTAATTTGTACTTTTGAAAACTTCTTTCCACATTTAGTTTTCTATTTTCTTTTTCTTATGGCATTTTGGTAAGTCTAATGATTTTGATGAACGATTCAAAGAAAATAAAGCCGTTTTCTTTATTTACCATGCAATTCAAAAAAAAAAAATGTATGTTCCGCTAACAATATTTGATAAGAAAGCCCAGTGGTTTCCAAATTTGTATATGTTGCCTATTCAAATGAAATAGTCTCAGGTATACAAAAAATAACTTTGTTCTGTGAATTGAACTCATTATTAAAGAAATCGCCCACAATTAGTCTTTCGTCTCTCATGACTGCATATATTATGTACCTAGGTATTCAGTAGGTAAAAATATGTAAACACTTAAACATTTCGAACGTAATAAAATTTATTTAAACATCTGTAACTAAACAAACTACTACAACATTAATTAGGTATTAAATTATGATTAAATAAGTTTATTGAATTCTTTATTTAAATTAATTTTTGTTTACATGTGCACAAAGTGATTCTAATCAAATTCTAAAAATGTATTTCTAAATTTAAAAAAAAAATGCCTTTATTTTTTCTCATTATAAATAAAGACGCAAATATAACAATTCTCTATATTATATATTTATTGTTCTAGCAATCACTATATATCATGTTTAATTTTATTCAGTTTATATATAAACTACTTAGTATACCTAGATATTTAAATTTGATAGTTTTGGTTAAGACCATTTCTCCAGAGTACCTACTTCAGTAGTAATATTAATAGACGGTAGTCATTAAATCTATTACTACTCATTAAGATATTGCTGATAATAAACAATTTTTTAATTAATTTAATTAATTTATAATGTCAATGCTAGGAAACCAACAATAAAGCATAACACTTTTTTTTTTTACTTGCATAAAGATTTCAAATACGAATATACAATATTTCAAGTTAAAATTTTAAAAATAATAAAATTGTATGTAAAGTATTATTTATTATTAGTATTGATGATATTTTAAACCACATAATATTAAAAATATATAAATCAGTTTTTCTTAATATGTACACAATTTTTTCATGATTAACTAAAACAGGATTAATAATATTTTATTTTTCATTTGTATCATTTTCAAAAAAGCTCAATAACAAACTATTTGAAGACCATCTTGACCAAACTTGTTTATTCTGAGTTCTGAATTTACAAAATTGTACTGATATCTATTTATGTTCAAGGTGTGCCCACATAGCATTCAATATTAATATCTTAAGTTATGATTAAAATTTTTAGAACTGTTGTATGTGATTTGCTAATAAACTTCAGTTATTCAAAGAATATTATTAGCAACTTACTATGTCTGACCTCAGATTACTTAGATAATATCATATATATCTGTAAACATATTCATTAAATATTTGCTGCAGACAGTATCCAAAAAAATATTCCCAATTTCTTCCACTAAAATTCTCAGACATATTTAATGTATAAAGAGAAACACACGAAAGATATTAAAGAAGTATACAATTTGGTATCAACATGTATCTTTTTAATGATTAAATAAAATTAATTAAGATTAAGCTATTTGTTTATTGAAAAAAAAAACTTATTATTTTCTATAGTATTGATACTATAATGAAAATTATAAATATAATATAAAACATATTTTATAATAAAAAGAAAAATCTGTCCTTTTTATTGAAAAATATTAAAATATTATAGCAATATATAATATAAGTAAAATTACTTACTTAAAATATAATACAAAATACATTTTATAATAAAAGAATATCTGTACTTTTTATTGAAAAATCATTCAATATTAATATTAAAATAAAAAAAAAAGTTTGTAACTAATGTAATTATATTTAATAATATTATTATTACATGTAATAATTATAAATTACAAGTTGTACTTATAGATTTCATTCTTTCTTTGACTTTAGCTAACCAAGTATCAGCAAAACTTTCTAAATGTTTGCCTGTTTCTTTCTATAAACTTAAGTTTTACTCCACCTATAACAAAACAATATATATATTTTTTCAACAATTATTATATATAACACTTTAAATGATTATTGATGCTTTCACATAAATTATATACGCATATAATGGCATACAATAACCACTTAACAAAATTTAAAAGAGTTATATTTGGTAAATCGAAAAAAATAGCAAATAACAAAGGATTTAAATTTATGGGAACAAATAATTCTGATATCTTTGTATGCAAGAAAGAACAATCTAAAGTTTATTGAACCATTATATTAAATATGTAAGATTTTTATGTATTAGACATATTATCATTATAATTTGTGAATTAAATTAAATGTATTATATAAGACTCCCAAATTTCACCTAGCATCACCAAGCATAGCTGAAAGGGCTTTAGTATCAACAATTACATTAGTATATTTAGTATGTTTATACAATTGTAATACTTATACAAAATGTTTTTGATGGTTAAATAAATAATAATAATAATAATAATAATAATTTATTGGCCAAAAAGAAAGTACAATTTTTCAGTAATTAATGATTATATATATATATATATATAACATGGCCCATCTCACCACTGGGGATAACCTCTTATCGGTGTTCATGGAGTACTATTAAGAGCTAAGTTTGTATACATTTAAAAATTTTATCATATTTTAGATAATTTGTAAAAAAAAAATATCATATTTGACTATACTTCAAAAACATAAATAGACATACATATAGAACTAATTATTAATTAGAACTATAGTTATTAAAGCATAAATTGCAATAAATAAATTTAATATAATAAAGTACATACAAAATGGAATAGATAAATAAATAGATAAAGAGACTACATTATATAGGTACACTGGTATATTACAAAGGGTATAGATCACTAGTATTATTTAACAACCATAATTTAATAATGTTTATATATTTTATAAGACGAACTGTTAATGATTTGCTGTGGAATGTGGTTTAATAATCTCAAACCCACTTGCGAAAAACATCGACTAGATTTCGATATACGAACAGTAGGTATTTCTAAGTTGGTTTTTTGACGTGTGTTATTGTGTCTAGGTTTAAACTCGATTAGATTAAATTTGTATGTGTAATATAGGGCATTTCTGTAGAATAGTTGTTGCGTTGTAAAAATTTTAAATTCAGTAAACAGATCTTTAGTTGGATATGTTTTTCGTTTACTTAAAATTATTTTAATTATGATTTTTTGGGCTCTGAATATTTTATTGCTTCCTATAATACCTAAGCCACCCCAGGCGGTTATTCCGTATTGTATAATAGATTGTGTCATGGCAAAGTATAATAAANTGTTGATCATATGTAATACCTAAATATTTAATAGTTTCCGTTTTATTTATAACATTACACGAACAATTATTAGATTTACAGTCGATGTCATGAATTTTAATTGTATTTAAATTGGGTTGGGTTCTATTGTCTAGGGTGAAATTAATGTAATTTGATTTAGTGTAATTTATTCTTAAATTGTGTTTAAGGAACCATTCATTTATCAAGTGTAGTTTCTGTTTCTGCTTTTAGGTGAACTTCGTCCCAGTTGTCCCCTGATACAAGAATGGCTCTATCGTCTGCATAAGAAAATAGTTTACCGTGAATATTTAAATGACTTAGTGAAGAGACATATATAATATAAAGAATAGGTGATAACACTGTTCCTTGAGGAACTCCCGTTGTGATTATAATTTCATCACTAAGTGTGTTGTTAATTCTCACTTGTTGCTTTCTATTATCCAAATAGGATTCTTAATAATTTTAGTGGTTTATTTACTATACCTATAGATTGGAGTATAGGTATCAACGATTTGTGGGAAATGCGGTCAAAAGCTTTACTGAGGTCTAGGAAAATTCCTAATGTTTTTTTATTATTGTTTAGGTTCCTATAAATATCCATGGAAAGCCTAGCTAAGGCATCTTCTGTTCCTAGGTTTTTCCTAAATCCGTATTGAGATTTAGGTAAGATATTATTTTCTTCTAAGTAATCTAAAAGTCTTGTTTTTATAGCCCGCTCAAAGATTTTTGAAAAAATATTTAGTAAACTAATTGGTCTGTAATTATTTATTAGTTTTTTATCACCATTTTTATAAATTGGGGTTACTATGGCACTTTTAAAATAATCTGGTATGGTACCTTCCCATAGTATTGTATTAAAGATATGTGCTAAGATCTCTGATAGTGATTCTTTAATCTGTTTAACTATGTTATTTGATATTCCATCTTTACCGGGGGCCGAGTCGCCTTTCATGTTTGAGATAATATTGTTTACTTCTAATGTATTTATTTTTCTTAAATACATGGATTGATTAGAGCTATGTTTGTCAGTCGATGAATTTAATTGGAAATCTAATTTTTTTGTAGCATTATTTTGACTACCCATTGAAGTAAAAAATGTATTAAATGTATTGGCTATAAAAAGTGGGTCAGAATCAGATTCATAGTTATTGTTATCAATATTGATATTAGAATTTTTTTGGGTAGGTTGCATTTGCGTTGTCATTTCCTTTATTGTTGCCCACATTTTTTAGTTATTTATTAGTTAGGAGAGTGTTAAAAGGTTGTTTTCTAATTAAAACATGTAATTTATCCCTTTTTCTTATGGCGCAGATGATACCTGGTGTAATCCACTGGTTTCGCTGATAATTATTATTTTTTATCTCATAATGTGTATTATTGTTTAAATTGGTTTTTATAATTGATGTAAGTAATGTTATTTTCTTTTCAGCATATTTAGAAGTTATTAATTCGTCTCAGTCTGTTCTGTAAATTGCTTTTTTTAGTTCTCTAAAGTTGACGTATTTATATGAGTTATTATTTGAATTTATAATTTGTTGTGGAGCGGTATGATTTAATTGTAAAAATAAAGGATAATGATCAGTAATTAGTGAGTCTATATCCGCTGAGTGAATGTTATAATGTTTGTGATTATCTCTAATAAATATATGGTCGATGCAATTATTGTAAATAAATATTATAAATACTTATTAAACCACTATAAAATATTCTTCATAATTCTAAAAATTATTAAAATTAATGATCTATAGGGACTACTATACCAATTTTTATGTATGTTATTTATTTATCTATCCTAACTATTTAAATGATAGTTATGATAATATTATTTTTTCTCGCTACAAGACTATAATATCTTTATTAAAAAAATCAGCTTTTTTTACGGAACAGTACCAATATTTAATATAATACAAAATCATAATTACTTTTTACTAATTTAGCTTGTTGTTGCAAAACTCAATTTTTATTTGTCGCCCCAACCAATTTAACTGTTTTTCAACCTAAAACTTTTTTAAGAAAGCATCTTTTAAAGTTCACTGAATGATGATCCACTAATAAAGAGATAGGTTATTTGTCTAAACAAAAAATTAATTCTATAATAAAATACCTACATTTAAATACAACATGTAATAGGTATTGAAAATCATTACAAAAATAATTAAACAAGTTACAATTTCCAGCACCATTTCGCCAATTTATCAGAGAGTAAATCGATATTACTTATTGTTATTTGTTCTTAATACATCAAACTATATATGTAAAATATAGGTACCTACCTATTATATAGTGATTTATTTATTTGTTTTAGGAATATTTGTTCAAATTTTTCATCTTAAATACTTCATTTAGTATGTATGAATGCTTTGAAAAGGTTAATAAAATTATTGTTTGATTGTCATCTGAAAAATTCAAATTTTATTTGTTTCTTTTATATTACAATAATTAATACTAATGTCTTTTTACTTAATTTTATTATTTGTTTTGTAGATAATATTAAATTTGCCATCGGATATAATTATACTTTTTAGTTTTCTTCATATTATTTCACAGACCAATTAAATAATTATATTGTTAATATCTCATTCTCTTGTTTAAATAATGTTACCAGTATTAGACCAGATCTTACAATGTCCAGTTAAGTTTAAAGTAACTCTCACACCAGAGCAATAGGCATCGAGCAACTATACAACTATAGCAACTAACAATATTCAACAGACAATACGTATTGCCCATAGCTTTCAAATAGAAGTACCACAGTAGCAACCATGTCATCATCTGATGAGGATGATATTTTCTTCTGGTGGTTTTTAAGAAGGAGAAAATTAAAAAATGAAAACCATAAATATTTGATTAAATCAGGGTTTAAACAGCTTGTCAAATATGGTGCAAATATGTGTGTAGATGAACTTAAACTTCATCCTTTGCAGTTCAAAAGCTGTTATAGAATGAACTTATCACAGATACTTTTCAAAAACTTTTGAATTAAATTGAATTGAGTATTACAAAACGAGATACTAATTACAGAGATGCTATAAGTACAACAGAAAAATTACTAATAACACTCAGGTAATATTAAATTTTAATATTTATTTTAAATTAAATGCAATTACATCCTAATCAGTAAAGGTATGGAAGTAATTTTGTACTGTTTTGGATTATTATTAATTTGTTTGTAGTCTTCTGAATGCAAATTTTCTAACTGTTTAAATACAGGCGTCCCAGATGGCTCAGGACTCAGTACTGAATATAAACTTCCAGAGTAGCTGGATAAAGGTCGTTGAACATATGAAATAGTGGTCTGTATAGTCGAATCATCCAAAATTGAATCAATTGTATCAAGTGTTCTTCTCTTAAACTGTCTTTTCTGGTAATCTGTCAGTTTAGATATATACAGTATATATGTCAAATTGCCTATGTCTATAGGCAATTTTCAACTGCCTAAAATATATATTCTGAAAAGAAAATTATAAAATTAGAATTAAATAATTTGAATGTATTTAGTAAAGATGGAACAAATATTTACCAAGTTAACTTCTAGGTACCACGTTGCTCATGTTCCGATTTTATACAATTTGGTTGATCCTGTAAACATATATGTGCAATATTTCTTTACATACCTAGATATTTATTTGACAGTCTACCTAAAAAATTTAAAAATAATCCATTCATATCTGCTGACCCAAGGTACACTATACATCATAAATAATACACATATACTACAAGAAATAATTACTGTTGGTCAGAATAATGGTAATAATTCATTAAACACTATTTCTAATAACCAAAATGATAAAATGTTAAAAACAGAGTACAAAAAAATAGCTGAAAAATATTGTGAATTTTTAAAAAAAATGATTGAATAATATATGTAATAGACATAAAAGAAAATTGTTAGAGTAGCTAAAAATATTGGATGGAGAATAAAGAGAACAGCCTAATCTTTGAAGCATTTATTAACATTATTAGACTTACCAAAATACCATAAGAAAAAGAAACAGAAAACTGAATGTGGAAAGATGTTTCAACGGTAAAAATTATTTCAATATATTATACATTCAAAACACCATTATTTTATATTTATTTTTCATTTAAAATTGTATTACTTTTTAAATTACAATTATAATTTTATTTATTTATCAATGACAATTATATAATTCATAATAATGATACATTATGTAAAAGAAAATTTGGAATATTGGCAACTCATTATAGGTATATGGAATATTTATAAATTATATGTTAATGAACGTTAGTATATGAGATCTATAATTATTTAAAATTCTCAATAATGTCAAATGCTCCCACGAACATTTGTAAAATGCTATCATAATTATAAAAGTGACAGTGTATATTTTAGGTTTAAAAAGCAAAATATTAGGTGCAAAGTTACGTCATTATTAGTTATATAAATTATTAATAAGTGATGTTACGAATCCAGATTTTTGAAGTCGAACGGTACCTGAACCAAACTTTTTCAAATTTTAACGAACCCGAACTGAACTATGGTGAATATTTTACCTTGTTTGCTGTTAACTATAACAATTTTTCATTTATTAGTTTAAAAATATATAAAAATTATATAATTAAATGTAAACAGATACCAACGAAGGGCAACTTACAATTCTAGTTTATTAGATACATATTAAATAAGTAATTTATTTTTAATTCCCTGTTAACGACGTGAACGCATCAATATATTTTGTTTTGTATGGTTATATATTTGTAAAAATATTGAAGAAAATTAAATTTGATAACGTATAATCGTATTAAATGATAACAACAAAATGATAAGACGTGATGCTCTACTGTCCTGCGCACGATAATTGATAAACCTATAATCATGGTTCTATGTAGTAGAGTATGAGTACTACTACTCTATGATGTAAAGACAATAGACATATCCTTGTGTGAGTAGTCTCATCACATATTTATCCAAAAAATCTGATTAGTGTTATTAAACATGTGACTGTAAGTCCATAAATATAGTTCTCTCATTTTCAAAAAAATGAAAACGTTTTCAAATTAAGTTTTATTAAAATTGACTTGTAACTAGTAAGTTGTTAGTTTGTTACCATAATATTATAATATGTATTATACTATGGACTAAGATTGATTAGATTAGGGTTTAGACATTGGGATAGATAGATTGTTTATCTAGATTAAGAGTAAAAGAAGAGTTTTCTAGTAATTTTGTATTGCAGGCAGAGATTGTCTTCCAAATGAAAAAAATGTAAGAAAATCTACAATTACCGGCTTCTTATCATGTAATGATAGGTAATACTTATGTTGTTATGACATTAAATCAAGCACTTGTGTAAAGTAATTTATAATGGTTTTAATTTCTAGTTTAGTTGTTTAAGTCAATATGGAGGAAGATCGAAAAATGAAACAACACTTATTTTAACGACAATTTTATCTGATAAATGTGCCAAATTATAATTTACAAAGGTAGCTTGTAAAACAAGCATGCGCTTAAAGACTTAACAGTACCTAATTTTAAAATAGGTGTAAACAAAATTTGATATAGTTTTAATTGAAATTGGTTTCATGACTTAATAATGAATCTATATTTTATCTATGTGACATTAATGATATCCCGACAATAGAGTGAAAATCCATAAATTTAAATTTTGTACAAACATTTCATAAATTATTTTAAATATTTTATAAGTTATAATATACAGTAGAACCTCGATAAAACCTTGATAAGTCAAAATTATGCATAATTTTTACGCATAATATGCGAATACTTCGATTACGTTAAAGAAAAACTATTGATAACTCGAACATTCTGTGTCCGAATATAGACAGATAGTGATTGATAATTTTTTATCTAATTGGCTTATGTATCCCATAATTTAACCTAATCATGTTTATTGTGTTTATTATCCTATTTTTTATTTGGTTTATTGTCACTACATTCGAAACTGTTACAGATAACAGAGAATAGGCGCTAATGGCAAGCTATAGATTATTATCATAATTTTTTAGTAATACATTAGTTTAAAATAATAACAATTCACATGTAATTATGTGTACACAATATAAAATACTATATAATAATTAAAAACTACAGTGCTTAAATACAAAAACTCTAAAGTCAAACTTTGTTCCTAAAATCTCGATAAGTCAAAAAAATTGCATATCCCTTGAATTTCTATTTATCAAGGTTTCACTGTGTACTATATATTATCAGAAACTATAATGAAAAATGTTATGATTCAATGAGTGGTAAGATAAGATAAAATGCTAACACTCCAATATAATTTTTAATTATATTTTGTAAACATTTCTTAGTCCTTTTTGTTTTGATTGCATATAATTTTTTATTACAAGAATTTTAATAGTATGATTATTAATTAATTAATTATTTATTAACTAATTATATGTTTTCGCTCTATTATGGTTTAACCAACATTAACAAAGCACCCTACAGATACTAAACATGGGGTAAAAATTAAAATTAAAAATTGGCCACGCTTAGTAAATCCAAAAATATATAATCTCAAAGGAGGCACTACAATAATTCTACAACTTTAGGAAAAGCAGTTTTTTTGTATTATTATTGTTTCTCACAATTTTTTTTTTCAAAAATTCACTAGATATAATACTAATAGGTATGTGATTTTTAGATTCTGTGTAGAGCAAGGAATGTATTGGTTTTACAGTGTTTATTATTGTATATTATTTTTTATTTTAACACTTTCTATCATTTTTAATCTGATTATCAAGTATAGCACCTTTTATGAAATTAAATGTATGGTAATGGTACTTTAGAGGGGTCAATTTTTGGAATTCTCTTTAATATTCGAAATAATAAGAAAAACCTGGTTCTCTAGATTAAAAACAAGGTTGTCATTGGCAACCGTTTTTATTTATTTTTTGTTAAGTTTTTATTATTTTAGTCTTTTTTTTAAATAATCATTGTTATCGTGGAAATATTATATTGATATTATCATTTTACCATAGTATGACATACATATTGTTGACAAAACAACACTATTAACTGAACTCTGTTCAGAATCGGTTTTTCATTAGCAATGGTTTATCGTATCCTACTGAATTCATTAGAAAATATGAATGGTGTATTGAAACTTCATGTTATAGAAAAATATTTCTGGAGATAAAACTCTCATAAAACAAATGTATTATTAAGAGTAAGGCTTGAGAAAGTAATAGAAATAACTTTAATTGATAATATTAAACTAATATTTAGCAATTACTTATCTAGAGTAGGTACCTATCTGACACAAAATTTTAAGCATAAATTATATATTATCTTTATGGTGTACTTCACTCAATAGAATACATGAAATTACCTATTTACATTGATAACATTTTTCAATGAGTTATAAATTAAAAAATTTAACTTGTAAGATACATTTTGATAACTAAAACATCAATCCTGAAAACATTATCTGATCTGCAAGTATATTTAAATAGGTACTTATGAAGTGTGAAAAAGTTGATGATCTACAAAGCAAAAGTTGAATATATTTAAGCAATATTTAAGCACCATTTAACACAAGTGTGCTTTGTCCGTACGTTGGTAATAGCTAAACTCAGAAATTTTAATAAAACTTGTGATCACAAAATACATTGTGCTTGACTGATTGGAAAGTGCTCAGATAATAAGATTTATAATGTGCATTTATCTTGGGATGTATTAACTTTAAAAGCAAAATAACCCAGACAAAAATATAAGTGAAATTAAATTACAATTTTTTTTTGATTTTATAATTCATAAATTGTGCAAAATATACAACAGATTATCAATATGAAGGTAACAAAGCGCGAGATTTAATGATGAATTTTAAATTTAGATAAAACTATTTCGGTCATTTCGTAACTGTTAAATGACCCAATTTATTATATCTCGCCAATTAATTTATGATTATTAGTTAATCAATATAGTTTATAAAACATGAACTATAAATGCACAAACGTAGTGCCGTATGCTATTCATACTTAAATGATTGGTATATAATATGTATTGGTAACAAATTCTGGCCCATGTGTAGTCTAATGAATAATGAATATAACAACTATAATTTAGTAACCGGATACGTCCATAAATTTTCAAAATCATGTTTTGATATAGAAATATCCAGAAAAAAATCTTTATCGATCGGCGCAACAATCGAATACGTCCAATGAATAGTATTGAAATTAAATAATACAAATTGGTTTTCAATATTCTGTTGGTTGCAATAAGTAGATATTGAAACATTATATATGACATTATTGTTTTCATTGGGTGCAAAAACCAGATATAAAAACTTAGTTAATTTTCACATATTATATTATTATAAAATAAAATAATATTGTTTGTTGGAGTCCTATGTTGATAAAGATTTTGATGATTAATAAGTATTGTTATAATGGTAACATTGGTTTTAATCAAATATCAAATTATTATATCATTATATTTAATTATTATTATTATTTTATTTTTCTCTCTCAATTTTTCTTAAATTTCAATACAAAAATGAGTAATCGGTCATCGAGTGTATTTGATGATACGGATTCTGATCCAGACTTTTTTATTGATGGAATGAGGACAGATTCCAGTATGTCAGTATCTTCGATTGACGAGGAAACTTATAAAAAATGATTGAAAATGATGAAATGGTTAATAACAGTAATAATTCAGGTACAGTACCATTTTCAAACAATAATAATCAAGGTCTTTCTAATATATTAGCTTATGACAGTGATGGTAGTAATTATAATAATAATAATAATAATTATTTTAATGGTTCTCAACAAAACCACATCAATTCTCCATCTACGTCATTGCATGTAATAGAAGCATCTAGCACTGATGATGATAACATAGTTAACAGTGAAAGAAAAGGTATGAAGAGGCGCCGAAGATTAAATTTTGTGGAAAAGAAATACAGCCAAGACAAGACCAATAAAGCATTTGGTTTAGAGTACACTAGTTTTAGCGGAAAAGTTGTTGATAAAAGAAAACTAGGTAGACCTTGTATATGTAAAAATAAATGTTTTTCTAAAATATTCTAAGATTACAGGACTAGTATTTTTAATATTTGTAATAATATTGGAGAAAAAGAAGAACTAGATACATATTTATGTGGTTCAATTCAAATAAATGATAAAATTGTGCATCATAGACCCAGAACCAGTGTTAAAAAACTAAATCTGTTAATTGTAAGTTTCTTTTAAAGATTAATTCTGAGGAATATAATGTTTGCAAAACAGCTTTCATATCTGTGTATGGCATAACAATGGCAAGAGTAAATCTTGTGTGGGCCCCAGGCCCATGCCCCCCCCCAAATATGGCCCTGTTTAACATACATACTAATAATACAGGACTTATTCACTAGTATAAAATATTTTGTTAATTAGTTGGCTGCAATAACCAGTTATGTCCAAGAACAAAATTGGACGTAACTGGTTATTGCAATCAACGAAAATATAATTATCAGTTTTTTAGGTTTTTTGCAAATATTATTAAGAATATAAAATTTAAAACAAAGGAAATGGGTTTAATTGATGAATCTAATTCTTACAAAAATAATAACAATGTTTTTAATTTTTGGTTCGTTTCCTAATTTTATAAATAGTTTTTTGTGTTTCCTGAATAATTCTAAATAGTGGACGTATCTGGTTACTGCACTGGTGCCTTCAATTGAAGATTATGAGAAAACAATTAATTTTGTTTTTTAGGTGGTAAGTAAATGCAGTGGTGATTTTATAGGGGGGGGGGGTCCAGACACCCTGGACCTCCCAGGTCTCGAGTTTAGGCTGATATATATAATTTGCTCAATATGCACGGGTTTTGACGAGCTATTACGCTTTCTATATGCGGAAATTATACGCTTATACATACATTTGGTGATTTCAATTTTAAACCGAAATATATTTATAATATATTATATATATATTTGAATGTTTGTTTGGCTATTTATATTTTCCCCGAATTGATCGTCAATATCTATTATTGGTCATAATAATCAGCTTCCAAAGATCGTACATTTGCAGAGATAAACTGACAATCAATACACTATTCAATATTCAGCTGTTGTACAAGTCAAATGTGTACATTGTAATCTTATTTGTTTAAATTTTGTTATTACAACTTAAAAAGTTTATCTGTTTGTTATTAAAGTTCCTATATATTGAAAAAATTTGAATCAAATTTCAAAAATATTTAATATTCATCCATTCAGGTTAGTGAAATTTATAACAGATATTTTAAGTTATTTTGCATGATGTAATTTTTAATTTTTCTTAATATTAATTATTTTCAAATTTTTACATTTTCTTTGAAATTTGAATATTATATTTATATACATTTTTATCGATATAATTATTGTATATAATAAAATATTATTGTATAGGTAGTTATTATTATATATAATCTCTTATCGATAATACACTATACACTATCATCATCTATAGCATTATTCTGCTATGTACCTAGGTATTAAATAATATTATAAATTTATAACTTATATATTTAAGTACCATTAAAACGCCTGTTATTATTTTAATATCATAATAATAATATTTTATAATGTAATGTAATATATTAATAATTATAATAATTTAAACTTATAAACTTAAGTTTAAAATCAATTCAAGTATGTCTAATAAAAAGCAAAAATCTTTAACATATTATCAGGAAATACAGGTTTATAGAAAAGATGCAGAAAAGAAAACTTGAAAACATTTTTAAAAAAAGCCTCTAAGATTGCTGATAATTTTCAAGTAGAAATAAAGATTCCAAGAATATCAAGTAGACAGACCTTAAGAATTAATATAAATATATTATTAGCAGAAGAATATTATCGTGTATCTGTACTTATACCATATCTGGAGTCATTTGCAAATGAACTAAAATAAAGATTTATTAACCACGCAATTACATTAACCATACCAGGTAATTACATTCCATTAACCATACCAGGTAATTACATGCCATTAACCATACCAGGTAATTACATGCCATTAACCATACCAGGTAATTACATTCCATTAATCTACTTTCAAAGATTTATGTTTATATTAATCTGACAGTCCAAATCTGTGCAAAATGGGATGGAATTTTGTGTTTTAAATTTAGCAAAATTAAATTACCAAGTTTTTATTTTGTGTTTATCCATAAATTATATTTATATTTATGGTTAATGTTGTTTTAAATACACTTTAACCTATTATGTGCTGTTGTTTTAATATTGGAGTGTATTAGCTTTATAACTAACTTGAGGGTAATTATGATTGTGTTTGTACATAGGTTTTTTCTCGATATTTTAATTAGGATTTTAATCCAGAAATAAAAAATGTTCTTACCTTTATGTTTGATAATAGACTCATATATTCTAGTACTAGAACTAATAATACAAAATCGTACAAATATAACGATATTAACCGATTTTACAACACTAACTGTAACATAAATACATGTTTATAATATTATATAAATAATGGATAATATACATTTATTATTATTATTCCATGTGCCCTTATTAGCGTTCAAATAAATACACTCGTTAAGTGATGAATGAAATTCCACTGGTTACTGTCAAAATTATCCTTTTAATAAACAGAAAAATACAAAAAATTATAAAATGTGACTGATATATATATATTTAAATAATATGTATACTTACAGTCCTGGTATATAATCCATGAATCTTCTTTCATTTTGTCGTAGTCTTCCACCGTTAGATTGTTCGCGTACTGCATACTAGCTTGTATAAATCCATCGCGTATCCCTGAAAAAATAATTTTTCGATTAATATTATAATTCTTTTGTATAATAATATAACATTTTTTACATTGTCAATAATTTAGTGAACTTTTAATTTACTATCGTCTTTTATATCGGTATCGGGGAAAATTGGCCTGGCTGAGGTCTTGAACGCTCTATTTACGGTGGAATTATCTACTTGTGGTTTGTAGTACGTCGACTCTAGTTTCAAATTGAATTTAAACGGGTTTTATTGTATAATTGTTTTGAGTAGGTCTATAAGTGTGGGTTTGATTGAACGGAGAGATTGTCTGTAGTTGTAGATATTACCGATATTTTTGAGATAGTACCATACAATTTTGCGGGAGAATGCCGAATCGATTTCGATAAATCCTAGTGTTTTCATTTGATCCATCCACGCTTTTTTCACTCTAGGAGCGGTTTCTTCTTTGAGCCTACGTTTCCCACCTAGAAACAGGGAAACAAAAAAAAAAAAAAACTTAAATTAAAATTAATTCCGTCGCTAATTTCTATGTAGTGAGGCATAATAAAAGAAATCTTATCTTCGTTGTCGCAATTTCTATAAACAGCTTGTCATTTTCTTGGTCGGTAGTCTATGGCACGGTCGAAGTCGATTGTCCGGCGACGGTATTCGATGATCAGGCCCACGGTATAATAGTCGACGGGGCGACTCTTCCATTACGATGAATAATTTTCAAGTCTACGGCACAATTATCCTTATGCGTAAACGACTTAGGACACAGAACGCATGAAAATTTAACTCCGTCGTGAGTTTTTGCGTGGCGTGTCATATTACGGTTAGCAGAAAAAAACTTTAACGTAGGTAAGGTACATTCGAACGCATTCATTTTTAAAAATGGCATATAAATGAACGAATTTATATAACAAGTAAATGATTGTTACGAAAAATACCACACTGATAAAAACGACAGAGAAAAAATCTACGGAGAGAGATAACTGGGAGACTCGTCGTGTGCGGGCGTGCAGAATAATTACTACTGAGGGTCGATCGTCCCGTTGTCATGGTCATGGATAAACAATAGCAATCCATTATCAAAAGTAGGTGACACAAAACAGAAATTATGTGTAATATTTTTGCGTCGGTAATCAAAGTTACGGCGCAGAGGCACAATTATGTAAAAATGATAGACAATGACTCTTGACACCTGGGCTCTTTGCGCCTGGATGGACGGCCATGTTATAGGTATAGCTCCTTGTCTTTTGCTCCTTGTTCCCTGCTCCTGCTCCTGCTCCTGAAGGAAATTTATTACCTTCTCTACTCCTTCATTTAAAACTGTAAACTGTTATAACTCATAAAAGAGTATTCTGATATTAGTGTTCA